TTAAACGAATGGGCTAATGAGCGGATAAGGTCAAAAACAAAAAAATAAAGGAATTAATCAAAAAATTTGGATCAAAAACTAGGTTTTTTTTAAGAACATAACAGGAAAAAAATTGAAAACCACAAATTTTATCAAGACATGAAATCGAAAGATCATATCATAAATCTTTGTGAATAACAATGATTCACAAAGCGATTATGCACATTTTGATCCCGATTTTAACACAAAAACACAAAATTTTAAAAAAATTTGAATCAAACTCAAAGAAAATGCTAAGAACACGAAGAACACAAATAAGAACACATAAAAAATTAAAAAAAATTCTTCAGATTAGATGATTTCTTCCATTGATTTTTTGCACATTCCGCTCTGATACCAATTATAAATCCCTAATATGATCAATCTTCAAGAAAGCTCTTCAACAATGGCAAATCTCATTATACTTGTAAGCACACTTTGATGAGAGAAAGTCAAAATCTCAAACTCAGTCAAACTTCTTAATACGTAAAATGAATTTTTACAATTTAGCTCCTACTCAAAAATACAAGACAAACACCCTTTATATAGGGTCAAACCTATGGACAAAAATCAAAGTCAAACAGTCCTAAGAAAAGTCAAACACGATGACTTTTATACAATTATAGAAAATTTTATCTTTCAAGACGAATACAGTTTTTTACTGAATTTCATTCCTAACAACAACAACTAGCAGCAACAACATATTCTGCTTCTGCTGTAGAGGTTGAGACACAATTCTGTTTTTTGGATGTCCAACTTTACCAGCTTGTCTCCCAAGAGTTGACAGCTTCCAGACGTACTCTTTCTATCAAGCTTGCAACCTGCATGATTTGCATCTGTATAGGCTATTAGATCAAAGCCCTCTTAGGATACCAGAGACCCAATGAAGGGGTTCCCTTAAGGTATCCAAAGATCATCTTGACTGTAGAGAGATGAGATTCTTTAGGATTGAATTGATACCTTGCACAAAGACATGTAGCAAACATAATATCTGGTCTACTTGCAGTCATATACAGGAGTGATCCAATCATGCCTTGTAGGTTGTTACATCCACATACTTGGATTGTTTGATGAAAATCCCTTTTGAAGTTTGTTTTATTTGAAGACCAAGGAAGAAACTAAGTTCACCCATCATACTCATCTCAAATTTGCTTTTCATTAGCTCTGAGAATTTTTTGCAATGTTTTGCATTTGTAGAGCCAAATATGATGTCATCCACATATATTTGTACAAAAAGTATGTCACCTTTATGCTTCTTGAGAAAGAGAGTTGTATCGATTGTACCTTTTTCGAAGCCATTGTTGATGAGAAAGGTGGATAGAGTTTCATACCAGGCCCTAGGTGCTTGCTTCAGCCCAAAGAGGGCTTTGTCCAGAAAGTAGACATACTCTGGATGTTTTGGATCTTCAAACCCAGGGGGCTGTTGCACGTATACTTCTTTTTGAAGTTTGCCATTGAAGAAGGCAGACTTGACATCCATCTGATAGACCTTAAAGCCTATGTGAGCTGCATAGGCTAGGAATATCCTGATGGCTTCAAGTCTTGCGACGGGAGCAAATGTCTCATCGTAGTCAATCCCTTCTTCCTGGAAGTATCCCATGGCAACAAGCCTGGCCTTGTTCCTTATGACTATGCCATCTTCTTTCTTCTTGTTTTTGAAGACCCATTTGGTTCTTATGGTTGTCTTCTCTTTGGGTAGAGTCATAAGGGACCATACCTTGTTTCTTTCAAACTGGAGTAGTTCTTCTTGCATTGCGTCTATCTAGTTTGGATCTTGTAGGGCTTCAGAAATTTTCTTTGGTTCTATCAAGCTAAGAAAGTTGGCGAAGAGGCATTCATTGGTTGTTGCTGATCTCGTCTTTACATCAGATGTTGGATCACCAATGATTTGGTGATGTGGGTGGTCATTCATCCACTTGGTGCTTGACTGGGGTTCTAGAGCAACAGGATACAGTTCTTCATCGACTGATGGAACTGCTTGCTCCCCTCGAAGAGATCATCTCCAGAGTTAGACTTTGGTTCTTGTTCTTGATCTGAAAACACAGAAGAAGTAGAAGGTGAAGTAACATGAGTTTCAGTAAGAGTTGTACCTATAGCATTGGACACTTCATGTTCTTCATCGGTTCTGGAAGTGAATTTTGTAGTAGGTGCATGTGCAGAGATTACTTCTTCTTCGAAGATGTCTTCAAATAATTAAGGTAACTCTGATTCATTTGGTTTGCCAAGTGATGAATCAGATGCTCTTCTTTGAAGTCCGAGTCCTGAACTATTGTATCCAGAAGTCATTGGTGTGGAGTCATCAAAGGACACATTGATGCTTTTTATTACAATCTTTGTCCTTTTGATGTAGACTCTGTAGGTTTTTGGGGTTTGAGATTATCCTAGAAAGATCCCTTCATCATCTTTCTTGTCTAACTTGCCTAGATATTCCCTATCATTAAGTACAAAGAATATGCACCCAAAGACATGGAAATACTTGACATTTGGTCTTCTATGATTGATGAGCTCATAGGGTGTCTTCTGGTGCCTCTTGTTGATGATGGACCGATTCTGGGTGAAGCATGCAGTAGAAATTGCTTCAGCCCAGAAGGTGATGGGTAACTCTGATGAAGCAACCATGGTTCTTGCTGCTTTCACAAGGGTTCTGTTCCTTCGTTCTACCACTCCATTCTGTTGTGGGGTTCTGGCTGCTGAAAAGTTTTGTGTGATGCCTTCATTGATGAGGTATTCATCGATTTTGGCATTTTTGAATTCAGTTCCATTGTCGTTTCTAACTTTAATGAGTTTTTGTTGTAGAAGGATTTGGAGTCTTTTCATCACCCCAATGAGTAGGTCAGGAACATCTGGTTTCTTCTTCACAAACTCGACCCACGAGTACCAATATGTACTTCTTTCCTGAGAGGCTTTGTGTAGATATGGGCCCACAGAGATCAATATGGATCATATCCAAGGGTTTGGTGCAGGAGGTTTCTGACTTTGTTTGGTGAGAGGCCCGTTTTAGTTTTCCCATCTCGTAGGCTGAGCATAGATGATCTTTTTCAAAGTTGAGATCCAGAATCCCCTTGACCAGCTTCTGTTTGGCTAGCTTTCTTAAGACATCAACATTCAGGTGTGAGAACTTCTGGTGCCATAGCCAATTTTCATCGCTCTTATGGGATACAAAGCAAAGGGTGTCTTGTCCCTCAGAGGATTGAAAATCCAGAAGATAGAGATTCCCTTCTCTCTTAGCCATGATGATGGTTTGACCGGGCTTTGTGTCTATGATATAGAAACCTTTGCGGAATCTGACTTCAAGACCCTTGTTGCAGAACTGGCTTATGCTTAGTAAGTTGTGCTTCAGACCTTCAACATAAGCCACTTTGCTGATGGAGATGTTGCCTTTTGATGAGAGTTCCGTATCCTTTGATGGTTCCCTTACTTTTGTCTCCAAAAGTGACAAAGCCTCCAGATTTCTCGATGAAAGAGAATAGCTGACTTTTGTCACCAGTCATGTGTCTGGAGCAACCTGAATCCATATACCATGGTTGCACATGTTGGTCTTGCAAGACAAATGAAGGGGTTTTAGGTACCCATTTCTTAATGGGTCCACGTTTGTTAGTAGGAGATACCTCTATCTTTTCATCGCCCTTAGCCTTTGCAGGCTTGGGTTTGTTAGCATTTCCCTTGCCCTTGGACTTGGGCTTTTTCATGTTTTCATTGGTTTTAACTTTATAGCGTTAAACGTGTTGGGAGATATGCAGCGATGTGTCAACATGTGATTCCTCAGGTTTTGTAAAAGAGCTAAACATTGACAATCATTATACTTTGGACATGAATGTTTAATGTTCTTTTTATTCGCTGAAAATGAAGAAGTAAATGCAGGGGATGTAAATCCTGTCCTAGCATCGGTTGTTTTTACAAACTTCCTATCTAGTTCAGATTTTTTATTTGAGAAGGTGTTTGTCTTTATTTATTTTCTCCTGAGGAAGGACTACTTTTCTTCAGCTGAATGAGAGGAAAAGTCGTGGTTAGATTTTTCAGAGGCAGGCCACTTCTATTTTTGCTCACGAGTAAACTTAATGAACTTAGAAGATATGCTAGGGCCTTTTGAGTTATCGTTGGGAGATTTGATATTTCTCAATTTTCCCTTTCCTTTGTCTAAAGATTTCATCGATGGAGGAATACCAGATTCATTGAGGGTTTGAAGTTTTGAGGCTTCTTATTCTCAATGATCTTTGGTGATTCATAGATTATCTCTTCTTCAGATTCAGAATCGAGAAAGTCTCTT